TGATAAGCGCAATAAGAGGCGCTTGAGCAAAGCCAACGGAGGACAAATCAGCCATGAAATGACATTGCAATTTCTCGACTTATTAGATTCTCTCGAGCGTTTAACGCGTCTGCAATGCCATACATCTGCACAATAAGTGCTTCATTTTCCGTTTTATTTGCCCATGATTGGAACTGATGAGTGTCTTTTACTTCCTACTCGTTCACCAACCGACACTAAACCATCGCTTTTAAACTATCAAAACCGATAAACTTAAAATTTCATTAATTGCTTATTGTCCGATATTTAACAGGCGATGTTTTTGTTTTCCAGACTACTTCACTAAAGAAAGTAAAGTATAAAACGAAGGTAATTTATCGTAATAATTTTAATAATTTTACTATTCCTTATTGCATTTTGATAGATATGGTTCAGGACTATTATTTTTGGTACAGTTATTGAGAAAAAGACCTCAAATAAATTAATTGCTAACTATTAGATACGTACCTACTTGATATTTTTTCAAAATCGGGGCAGTACCCTTTTTCACGATAATCTTCATAGGAATTATAAAATTTATAGAGGTTAATATAGGCATCTGTTCTGATAAAACAATTTCTTAACGATTTTTAAAGAACAGATCCTACGGAATTTATTTGATGGATGCTGTACGATATCTAATTTCGTATTTGTTACACCTGTAGGAGAATATTAGAGGTGAAATCCATCAGCGTGGATCATTTGGAGGTTTCAAGCGATAGAGAGTAATACTTCACAAAACTGTCACAAAGCTAATGTAACTTGTGTTACCTCTGATGTGTTTCATCGTGGAATTTTGTTACAGGTATGAAACCGAAGATGAAGAATCACTTCCGTGCTCATCAGTTAAGTGTCTGGCTTCGCCTTATCCCAGAATTGCACAGGGCTGGAATGGAGGACGTCGTAGCCAGACATAATTTATTCAAGAACCACAACAATCCTGAAATATATGAGGGTTTGGTCCGTCCCGACCCTCTTTCTCGAGCGGGTTACACTGACCCCATAACGGAATTGTTTCGAAAGAAAGCCAACGTCAGTTTGCAAACCATCGAAATTCCCACAACAATCGATCCAATGATGATGACGACATGTGTCAGTGTAGTGTCTTCGGGAACGTTCAATCATCAATCTTATCAAAACACTTCAGCCGACACGTTAGCCAGTTTAGAAGCTGCTGGTTACGCTGCTTACAGCACCGCCTTAAGTGTCACCATTGCTATCGGGTGTTCCCTGCTCATATTAAACGTTCTCATCTTTGCCGGTGTCTATTATCAGCGGGACAAAACGAGATTAGAAGTCAAATCACTTCAGCAACAGCAGCAACGTAATCAAGCAAACTTTGAAGCCATATCGAAACATGGTCATTACCACATAGGACATTCCCAAACAGCCAACGTGATAGTGGACGTTGAACAAGACACATCAGCAATGATGCTCGCACAGCAGACTGAGGTCAGTACGTTATCGAAAGGTCAACAGCATCTTTGTACGGGAAACATGCCAATGCCCAATTCCATTAAAGGTTCATCAGCAAATCCCAGTATTGGTAATCAGGGAAATTGTATGACCCTTCCAAAAAATGCAAGTACGTGTAACCAAAGTTATGGGCAACCTTATCTCACTTTACCAAAGAACGCATCCATGCTAAATAAGGCAGCCAACATTATAGCAGAGATGCAGCAACAAGGGTATGTGCAGCATCCAAACGGTAGTGCTACAATTCCACTCAACGTTCCAAAACCTCCACCCCCACCCAAATCAAAGAGTCCACCGGAACATCAACCCCTTCTCTCGGCACACAACAACAAATCGAACATTAACCGGGTTCCTCAGGCGGCCATGAACGAAATGAGGGTGTGATAATGCGAAGGAACATTGTTGAACTGTCTTTATGCTCAAAACGTCCCAACGGCATCTATAAATTCCGTTAAAAAAATTGAAAGACTTCTTAAACCAATTTGTACATAGACCAATGTCAAATATAGGTCATTCTCAATTTTGTGTGCTTAAGATAATACTTTATCAACCAAATCAAACTTTTAGAGCTTTATTAACGTTGTTGTGTTGATAACTTTATTAATTAATAATACGTTTCTGGTTTCTGTCGATTCAGTTTTCGGAAAGCTCGCAACTGGACGATTAGTAGGAATGCGATAAAAAATATAATTGTTACTTTTAAATATCTTCATTCTTTATCTAGGACTGATACCTTAATATAATGAAATGTACTGAAACATAAATATGTATTTGTATTCCTAGACTTGTTATCCGATGTTTTAAATAATGTCACAACTTAAATAAAAGTTTATCGATAACCTTCAGCTAGTTGACTTATTTTACGAACCAGTCCAAATAAATAAAATTAATTATACTATATACTGTATATAAATAAATTAAATATTAGATGCTACATTTTTTTTAATGTTGGCATTATACAAACGCATTGCACCTACAGATAACCTTTGTTTGCAAAAATATCAAAATTGTTTCTCATATTTGTTTCAATAACTAGATTAAAATTAAATTAATACTGCAATATATGTCTTACTCCTAGAAATAATACGAAAACACTTAAATAATAAAATGTACGATTGCCATACGAAAAATGTAAAATTGGAATAATAAGTTAAATATAATTATCAGAATATTAAATGAAATCCGTTGATCCATATAAAACACTACCAGTGGGTGTAGTCCTTGCACAATAAATAATTAATAAATGTTATTTAAGATTTATTCACTACAGTACCTGTGTCCGATGCTTCTGATGAGTCACTACTACTAATGTCAGTGTCTTTTTTGTTTTGTTTCAGCAATACATCCTGACTATGACATTGTTCACCAGCTGATTCCTTTTCAGCTTGTGGTGTTTTAACTGTTTCTTTAGTGCTTTCAGTTCTTTGATCTTCTGATACTGAATCGAGACTGCTTTGTTTGGTAAGCATCGTAGTCCTTAAATTACTATCACCAAGCGTCACTCTAGGAACATTTTTATTTCTCGGTAAATCTCTTGGTTTCCTCAAAGTACTTGGTTTAGTTATTATTTTAGGTTCGAGCCGTATAACTGAGTTATCAGGATTTATTGTTTTATTTGTCGTCTCGGATGATGGTGTTGTCTTCGGATTAAGATTGTCGTATATTGGTTGGGTGTTAAGTCGGTTTTCACTTGTCGAAACAAATGGATTTGGCTTTTTGATTCCCTTAACAGGTAGTAGCGGTCCTACATAGAGATTGTTGCAAGTTATTTCTGGTTCAGGTATTTCTGGTGGTTCTTCTGCCAACACAGCATGAGAATGTATAAGAGTATGCCTGTTCGAATTTCGTCCTAGGGATGATGTGGTCCTCGGTGGTGGTGCTGGAGGAAACCGGCAGTTAAGCCGATTGGGAGATGTAGGTTGTGACAGCGAGGAGATAAAACCTGCTTCTGGGATAGTGTGAAAAAGTTGATTGGACGTAGGCATTGACATCCTTCTACCAGGATGATCAGGGAGCACTTTTGGAAAATTCCTTCTTTTTATTGTCATAAGCTGTTGCTCATGAGTAAGCGGTGGTAACTGCTCACTCACGTCATCTCTGGAAGTGACATTTACGTCTTGTTGTGGATCAAAACTGCGCAGTCGTTTCAGCGGAACTCCTATCCTCGGAAAGATCATTTCAGTATCTCTAACAGGATCGGATTTCGAATGATGGTGTTCAATCTTGACGATCGTGGGTTGACCTAAGTCCCATCCATTTTCGGGAATTTTGAGGTTAATACTAGTAGAACTTCTTCGCAATGAGTCATTGTTGGAAAATCTGTTCACATCATCAAGGGTTGCAGATCGTCTCAGATTGGTTTCACTGTCCTCTTGATGGTCGAAAGATCTATTGAACTCAAAGGATTTAGTAAGTTCAATAGGTTGTTGTCTCAGAACGCTACTTCCTCTTCCCGATGGAGTCGCGTCAACAGCTACTGAAACCTTTTCTGTCTTGCTTATAGATCTAACATGAGATTTGGAAAAAAATTTACGAGAAGGAGGTTTATGAGCTGAAGTGGAATTAGATAGTTTGGAATTATTGTGTTCCTTCATATCTGAAGTATTCTCAGTTGGACTAACTGGACGTGTAGGAGAACGATTGATAGTCGAGGTACTGTCTGCATTTTGTAGAATGTCTGATCCAGATATCGGTTCGTTTCTACCTACGGAATTTTGTTTAGAATGGTTACCGATTTTAGATTTTCTTACAGAACGCGGACTTCCTTTTTGTGCAACTTCTTGAGAAATCCAGTCCCTCACTTTCGAATGAGGATCAATGGTACTACTAGACATTTGCCTTATAAGTTTCAGTTTGCTTGTGGAGCAAACACCTTCATTTATCTTTACCGCCTCATAAGTGTCTTCACTTTTATTTGATTTAGTTATCATTTTCATTAAACGACAGCCAGCATACTTCTTCTTGACAGCTGGTTGTCCACCTTCGAAGTCAGGATCAAACAGTTCATCGTTACGGACTCTGACCATTTCGGTGCTTCTATTTCTATCACGTTTTTTTAATCTAACACATTTGTAATACAGAAGAGCCAAAATGACCACGTTTGTTAGAAGAAAAAGTGTACCCACCGCAATGACAATTCTAACAGTACCATTGTTGCTGGGTTCTGTGGACAGAACGCTTCTGGAAATATCCTCGTTCTGTATTCTTTCGGTTTCTTCCATCAATTCTCCCCCATATGTCATGTTTTGTTTTGGACTAAATGAGCCTGGAAACGTTCGTGGAATTACCACGGGTGGTGGATTCAACCCCGGAAGTGCATGCCCGGCAATTTTCATTTCTTTTCGTTCTTCAAGAAGTTTCGGCATCTCTTCGTTCCAGTACGCTACCTCTCGATGTCGATAGTGGAAACCAATTTGGGGTGGAATTTCTGAAAGGAATGTCGGAATTTTTAAGGGGTTGCTATTTGAAAATGCCTAACACATACTTAAGTACATGAAGGGTTCTCCTTGAGAATCGTAATTTATCCAATCGACACTGAATCGCTTCCAATCTAAAGGGTGCATCGTGTAGAAGTCGTTTCGACGTGGAATGTTTGGATCTCTGAAAGGATCGATGTATGAATATATATTTCATCATATGAATAAAAATGGTTCAATATCTAAAAGGTATACATCAAGCACATATAAGAATCGTGAGGTCTTGCATCTACTAAAGTTGTACATATAAATTTTATTTTGTGTTATAAAATATTGCTGCAGTGGCAGTAAAAAGAATATTGAAAACTATATGGTCTTCATCATACATTTATTTTTAACTGCTCTGCACTTCAATAAGGATTCCAGAAAGAGACATTTGTTCCCTTAGATAACAAATACAGTGCAAGATTCGAAAACAAAGGAAAATAATCGACTAATTTTGAATATTAAGCACCTACTGTTGAGTAATTGTCGGAAAGTGAATTGCATCCAACAGAAAATAGGTTGCTAAGGTAGCGTAGTTTATCTTATGAGCCTGATCAATACTTGTTGTGGTCACTTAATACCTCATTTCAGTGTTCAAATTGGTGAATAAGGTAATTTACAGCGCTACCTCGCAAACTGATTGATGAACGAACATGAAGTTACTGACGCGCGGTAGTTTATTCTTCACAATTCCCAACGAAAAATGCTGGGATTGTGTTGGAAATTGGATTTTAAAATTTTATTAGTTCGATGGTTCGAGGTATTTACTGACGCTAGCTTTATTTCTGGAGAATTTTACGAAAATCATTGAAACTTACAGAAGAATGCATAAGGGTCTAAAACTGGGTATCTATGCGGTAGACACCAGCTCCAATATGCGTTTGTCAAATTATCAAAGCAATATTCACTCTATTTGCCAAATGTTTATTCTATTTCGTATGGGGAGATAGCGAGCTCCAAAGTCTGAGAAATTATATTATCATTAAATTAAGGGGTTTAATGTTTTCAATACGCAATTTTATCATCTATATGCATTATTCTCTTGTAAAGGCCCTTATTCATATTACAGGATTTGTCATCAATGTGTATGGGCAATGTACATTTCTGTTTGAGGGATCTCAATAAACGACTTATCAAAGAAAGCACGAACTGGGTTAATGGTTCGCTGCGATTAATAAGTTCAAACTATGCAGGTGCTGTAAGTCGTATTTGCAAATAGACCGTACGATAAAGGAATAAGTATAATAGAGATTCTTTATCATCATCATTTGCCGATTCAGTCAAAAGCATACACAAAGCTCTCGCCTCGTCGGTATTAAGACGATATCCGTCTTGTGTGCAAGCTTCAATTGAACAGATCGGTTGGATGTTTCGATTACAGTTCAATGACGTAAACGCGTGGCAAATCCACGACTCGACTAGAACATTGAAATTTGCATTGAACCCTCTCTCTATCGGATCTCTTTCGACAAAATCTGGCTGCATTATACGGGGATGTGTGTTTTAGTAGAACATAATTAGAACTCATAGGAGCGCCACTAAGCCCTCGGTCTGCAGTAATAAGCCGGCCATCGGTAGACGGTGTTTACGTTATTATAGTCTTCGCAATGTATCCATTGTTCATCAGCATCGGGGGTAATGCGATCGCTTATTCAAACGAGCGAGCCAATTAGAGGGCCATTGTTATTAATAGGTCGCATGTGAAAATTGATGGTAAATGCACGCAATTGAGTTATTTCGGCGACCAGCAGTGCCCGAAGCCCGCGGTAAATATCTAATTATGCTGTCAAGGTGCATAATAACGAATCACCACACCCAGTTGTATCACACCAGAAAACGGAAACAAACAATAACTGGAAATATCTTCGGGGTCGACATATCTCAGTAGCTTATGATGCTGAAGTGCTTTATAAACACTAATTTGTTACTATAAATGTAAGAAAAAGCGATCAGCGAACATAGAAATTACGCATTTTTTGGTCGGCACTTCTTCTTATGTCGCACTAGGGAAAATTATTGTTAAAAGTGTATGTTCGGAGCGCGGCGCTTTACATGTGCTAAACATGGACGGTGGGCGCTGCGGAAAAGAAGATGTTAGAAGCGTTTAAAATGTGGTGTTACAGGCAAGTGATGAGCATACCGTGGATGGAGAAGGTTATAAATGATGAGGTATTAGAAAGACTAGGAGAACAGAGGACTCTATGGAAGTCAATAAGAAATATAAGAGATGGATTGGTAGGACACCTTCTCAGACATGAAGGTCTAGTTAGAGACATATTAGAGGCAGAAACGGAAGTTAGGAGGGGTAGAGGTAGACCTAGATTAGATTACTGTTCACAAATAGTTAAGGATGCGGGTTGTTCTAGTCTTAGGGAAATGCGAAAATTAGTTCAGGATAAGAAAGAGTGTAGGTACGTGTCCAATCAGTCTTAGGACTTTGTATGAAAAGATGACTGAAGGTATTTTTGCGGAATTTCCTGTACCACGTCGAATTTTTCAGAAGATGATGTCTCCCTTCCATAATTACATGCAATATCTATGTCAAGATCCCAATTCGCCACGGGTGTATTTAGAAAAGTTTCGATCTTATGAAATCCCATGAAAAATAATGAATAATGACTTTTTTATTTATCGTTCTCAAAATAATTAGAAATTACTAACTAATTATTACTAATTACTTCTGCTTTTTTAAATAATATTTTAAATGAAAGATAGTTCTTTATTTAGGTACACTAGGTACATGAAGCATTTTTCAATTTAGCGTAAGTAGATAGAGACGATGCTTATTAATAAGTGCCCACTTACCCTGTATGTGCAAAATTAGTGAAGTAGGTCATCACCACTTCAGAAAAAATTTGCTCCTCTTCAGAATATCTGTCCTGAAAGTGAATTCGTGGACCATCGATCGGTACACCGAACACGTAAGGAAGCTCGTCACCCGGAATAGATTTTGTCCGCTGCAAATAATTTCAGATATCTCATGAATATTAATTTAATTAAGAATGTATTAGAAGATGGTAGAAAATATCCGTGGGTTTTTCAATTCAATCAAAAAACAAACCATATTGGTAAAATTATACTCTAGGACGAAATTCTATAAGATGTGACACTAGAATCCTTTAGTTTAGAAGGAAATTGTGGGGACTGGCGTCGGATAATTATTTATTAATTATATATTTCCTGTTAACATCCGTATTTAAAATTAATCGTTACAGACAATAAAAATATACACATCCTTAAAATTTATATTGTTTACATTGAAGATAATAAAAATTAAAAGAAAATCTTCGAAGTACTACATTTCTTTTATCTTGTCTCGTTTTTCTATTTCGAAAATCCCTCTTTATGTGGAAGAATGATGAATCTGCATATTACTTAAGAAAATGGTTTTCGACTGCCTGCCATCTGCATCTTGTCTGTTCGATTCCTGTGTTTTGATTTATTCTCACTGCTTTAAATGCATTACCGTTCGCCGCGTTCTTAATGGAGAAAGTAATGCATCTGCTATATGCTTCCTGGGGCAATAAAGTCCTAACGCGATTCGAAGTGTGATAATTTCCGCTGCTAAAATGCAGAGAGCACAGATTGAAATGGCGGAAGTGCGCTCCTTTAATGGAACTTTACTTTCAACTTATTTACAATAGATAATATGAACTCGTCCCGTCCGGGTTGTATAGCTCTCTCTTTTTCTGAAATATCCGCGATTCGTAACAAATGTTGTGCCAATTTTACGTTAGTGTGCTGTTTCTACAACGCCATGGCGGCGAGCGGTCAATAATAAAGGAGCGGTCGATGACGTGACAGTGAATAGAGATGACTAAAAGGGGTAGTTATGTGTAAGAAGGGGGTTCCTTGAGCTATGCGGCGGGATGTATTTGAGGGGAGTCTTGTCTTATATCAGCTCCCGGTGAACACAGCTGATGGTTCCTGATACAATTCCAACTATACTTCATTTACTTTCTCTAGCGATGTGCCCCTTCCAATGTCTTGGATGCGGGCTGGCAAAATCGTAGGTAGGGAGAGAAAAGCTCATTATACTCTCGACTCTTGTTTATTAAACATACTTTTTCATACAGTACCTGCCAAAAGTTTTGTTCAATCATGAGTAGTAGTGCGAGTCGAAAACAAGCGTTAAAGCCTTTAATATGTCTTCAAATATAAATAAGCATCTCGTTGATATTTTTAGTAGTAAATGGTACCAATAACAGCACATTTGAGCAATGCAATTGTAGTGGATAAAATGGTCAATTTTTCCGTGCAGTACTGTACGGATTATACGCACCTCACCGGTTAAGAGTTTGACAGAGAGTTGTCTCCTTCCTTTTCTGGCCTAGTGCTGTTCTTTTCTACTTTGCGACGGTCAAACTGAAGGTCACATCGCTACAGAAATTAAACGAAGTATAACTATCTAATCTAATAGTGCGAAATCCTCAATTTTTTTTTGAGTAAAGAATAATAAAGACCAAAGGGTCATCGGTTCAGCAACATATGTGAAAGTAACTACCTGACAAGTATCCAAAAGCCATTTGCATGAAAGATCCTTTCGTACTTGAATTAAGACTGTACAGCGTTCAACATGTCACTTGGTTTACATACGAACTGAGTTACAAATTTCCTTCGTTTGTTAAATAACACGAACTACAGTGTTATTTTTTGTTTAGAATATTTTCAAGAAAATTCTACGTTGGAAGCTGTAGAACACTCGAGGATCAAGAAATCGAGGATTCGTCACGAGACATTCCTTTGCAACTTCCAGAAAGCGATGGATTTTGTCATATTGAACGTTAAAGCTACATACTTCGGCATCTAAGTTTATAAAGCAATTCTGTTGAACTAATACTATACTCTTTCTAAAATAATTGTTTCGCTATCAGTTACAATTTCATTTCATTTAGAAACGAATCCAACTGGTGACTCCTCTATCAAAGAAAATCTACTGTATGAATATAACATATTTTACTTACGTAATAATAATTAGAAGCGGTTTTGTGTCCAAAAACGTAAAAGTACGAATTCAAATTGAGCGCAGAATGAAGTTTAGCCATTAGAGTTACAGGTGCTACGGTTCGAACATCTGACAGTATATTGAGGAGATAATCCCTATTCAAGAAAGCTGAGTCATAACTCTGACCGTCATAACTATTCAGTTTATTGTCAGTACCGACAAATCGAGAATATGCCGACAATGTGTGGGCCAATATAAAACCCACATTCGCCTCAAACTTCGTTTCAAAATATTTTCGTAATTCAGAATTCGTTTCTTCTTGTAACATTCCGGCTGCCATTGCAACAGTGTTTAAAAGATGAGCGCTTTCTACCTCCATAACACCGTATATTAATTCAAACCTGAAATAATTGAAATCAAAGTAATTGAGAACCAATGTCTCCATACGAAGGAAGTTTACCTTTTAAAGATATCGTTGTACGCACTCATGATATGTTTTGGATAATTGGGAATGACCGTCTGATCAATTATTGGACCAAATGGTGTTTGATACTCGGGAATTGATATGGAAATGTCCATGAGATCTTCTAGTCTTCTCTTTCGTAAGCATTCTTCGAGTTCTTTGCCATTTGAAGGACATCTAACCGCCTTAGCGACTTGTAGAGTGACGTGTGTTGGATTTTTTACCAATGCCCAGTCAGACAGAGCCGTACCACTCATTAGTATAGCTCGGTGAAATAAAACTAGAAAATGTAACCTTCATTAAATTAGCAAAATTGTTGTGTAGACTTTTATTTTTTTTTTTGTATTTTATGAAATCGATGAACTGATAATACGGAATAATCTTCCACTTACGTTTATCTCCTTCCTTTATAATCATCGGAGACATCATGAGGAAATTGGCACACACTGCGCCGCTTCCTTGTCCAAACAATGTCACCGAGTTTGGATCGCCTCCAAACTTATCTATATTGTCTTGGATCCAAAGCAGTGCAGCAATCTGATCTATTAGTCCAAAATTGCTCCTGCTTTCGTCCTCCAAGCCAGGTTTTAGGAAGCCTGTTAAAAGAAAAATGAGAACATTGAAAGTAAAAGCGGGAAAAGTATTTCGTGATAGTAAAAACAATGATTTTAATCACATATTAATACTGGAAAATACCACAAACGGCGCGGTAAACGCCATCTGTAGTACGATGCTACATTTTAGGATTACGTATGCTCCAATAAGGTCCATTTAAATATATGGATATCTACTTGCTGAAACCAGTTGTGGTATTTTCTAAAACGCGCTGTTAAGACAGCAGGTAAAAGTTGGTATGTGTTCTGTCGGTGCTGCCTGCGACGCGCTGATGAGATCCAAAAAGATCGAAATAGCGATCAGCGTCTGGCAGTTTTGACAGAATACAGACCACTTCGAACTATTTTATTTTATACATATTAATACTGCTTTTCAAAAAGATGATGAGCAACCTTCTTGGATGTATTAAATGCTTCTGGGACAAGTTTTAGTACAAATACGACCGCCTAGAGCTGCGTGTCAGGTGCATGTATTCTAAATTGTGCCCAAGGAATGGAATTTCTACCACAAAAGGCAAAATATAAACACAATTATGCGTTCACCGATATAGCCGCAAGTATAATTATGTTATTATCCGTCAATGAATACTGAATTGTGTTCATACACATGCATTTTGCATATAATGCAGCGGTGATGCTTGAATATTAATCATATTCGGTCTACTAACTGCTAAGAAATAAAATTATTATCTATTATTAAATAGTCTTGTATCAAAAAAGAATATAAACTGGAAGACTGTGGTAAATTACATATTATGAATTAATAAAAAAGGTGAGTGTTATTGTTGTTATTAGCTATGGTGGTTTGTTTTCATAAAGTAGTACACAATTTGTTAGGAAAAAATAGAATGTTTAATTAATAAAAATTGAATACGTTTAGAATAAAATTCTTATATATACTCCTGTGGTCAAACCGCCGCTAATAATGAATATATGCAAATACATATATATATATTATATGTGGTCGAATACCACCTCAAAGCGTTTAGTGTGTTAGGGAATACATTGAGGGTAGTTACGCAGACAAACAGGACGTTGCAATACATGCAAACGAACAAACTATGGAATACATTTTGCATAATATAAACGATATTCAAGCAACATTCGTACATATTGTAAATATATCACAACTCTATGTCATCACGTACATTTGTATAATATATGCGATGCACAGGAATAAGGGTAGGTAATTTTTGGACAGGTTCTGACGCAGGCAATGCGAACAAATACAGTTTACATTTGGACAATCGTTTTCTGATATTCCGATAATTAAATTGAAACGAAGAGCCTACAGCAAAAATGTCGGAGATGAAATGCATTTTACGTGATTATAACCATGAATAAGTCTACAAATAACAATTAGCTACTAATAATTATGATGTTTATGTTTGATAAAGTCCTTTTTGATTTGGGGTATCGACTTGCCAAACTAAATCTACGACCTAACAATATTTAAGTTCTAGGTCATTAGCCTATCGAATACTTTTATATAAGTGAATCATTAAAAAAATCTAACCGAGAATTTTCCAGCGAGATTCTTTTTTTGGCGTCAAAAATGTTTTTATAAAAGTCCATAAAGCCAACTAGATGGCTACAAAAGATGGTCAAAATGGGTTTTAATTGATACAGTAGCATTATTTGGAGAAACGTAGGTAATACATCATACAAATTTAGTCATTATGGATTGGTTCACGCAAACCACGCCGATGAAGTACACGCATCTCCCAATAATTTTGTAGTAATTGCTTATGTTAATAATACCGGTGCAGTATAAGGTCAATATTCCGCAAAATCCGCTTTGATATGAACGTTAGGTCGACGACAAATACATTCACGGAACTATCTGATGTTTGACGCGGCGAGGTTTAGGCCTTCTGGAGCGTAGAACAGTCAATTATGCAACAATTTGTCGTAAACTAACGTATCTACACGACCATGATTATGAACTGAATTTATAATGATAGTAATTTACGTATGACTCCATCAACTGTGACTATGACATTACCAACAATGATATCCAACAAAATATGAATTCTTTTGTCTGATCATGATAGTGATGATACTTAAAATTAGAAGGTAACTACCCCAAGTTTTTTGTCTTAATAATTTTTACCTCTCTTTCATTATAGATATTCACCATCATCGAATTTAACCGTTTTAATCATAAAACGTAACATTTTTATCTAACACGTATGTAAAATGTTGGAGAATATTTGGCAATAAACTAATTAATAACTATTGCATTTCCATTTGATTATTTCTTACAGACCTTTCACTTAACGAAGCACTTACATAACTAGAATTTGATCAACCCATTAATAAACACGTTTAGTCTGCAGGAAATTGTTCTTAAAAAGTTTCAAGTAACTAATTCATGAAAATAAAATGCTCACCTAGAATTCCAAGTCTAAAATTCAGGGTAATAACAATCACATGACCGTAAGCAGCCAAGACACTGCCATCATACGTGCTGCCTGCATCCCATTCAAAGTCACCACCGTGAAGGTACACCATTACGGGATACATTCTGGGATTATCAGGATCTGGAATACAAATACAAAGAGTCATTAAAAACAAGAAATAGTTTGCAGTTTTGTTTAGAGTTGCTTTCTACATATTGCAAATTGAAGAGACTTTTGGCAATGTACCAAAACTCGGTCACAAGCCGATTCCTTTTCCAGGAATTTTATATCTACCTTATAGAGAATTAAGAATATTGTTTTAAGTTAACAGTTCAGTAAGAAATTGTTTCCAATAAATTAAATATAACAGTTTAAATAATGATAATAAATAAATGGTCCGTGACAATGAAACTTTTAAAAATAATACTTATTAGTGTGTTTGTCATCGGTCAATTAATTTCCTTGATATAAATTTTACGACTTATAAACAGAAGTGATTTTACGTTCAACGTTTTTACTTTTATGGAGAGAATATATTATACCTACAATCTCAAGAGGCGAACGTACTATTCAGTCATAAAAGTTAAAGGCCAAATATTATATATTATATTAAGGTCATTTCATTTTACACAACATTTACGAAAAATATAAACGGAGATATTAGTATCCCAATAACACTACACTTTTATTGACTACCTACATACGATTGTTCAGATAAAACATTTTAAAAGTTAATAGAGAAAAATGTGATGAAATCTTCAATTCAAATTTTTATTTAAAACCTTTCCAAAATATTTAAAAAGCAGTTTGTTAGTCAGCTAAAAATATTTTACATGGAATTGTTCACCATTTTATTTATAAGCATAGTACCTCTGATGCACCTTAATCAACACAAACTAAAAAGAAGTAAAAGGTAGATACTGTCATAGTTTTGTAATGAATTTCCCCATAACATGCCGTATTTTTTAAAAGATAGTGCCGCCCCATTTTTGATTGCATGTAATCGAATATCCCTATGTTCTCAACTTGCCACTAGTGTATATTAATTCATCTACATGGAATGCGCAGAAAAAAAACTGTGTGAAAATTATGCAGTGCTTTCAAGGACTTTATAATAATGAAGTAGGCCACTGAGTGCCCTCTGTACCACAGTGCCAATAAGTTTACTATACTCATAATTAAAACAAAGCTCTAATAAGGACATTCACTATTCTAAATAGAAACTACGCGCTGCCACCGCTAGGTTACGTATATAAATTATGTACATGTAAATCAGAAGATACAAAACGATTGATAGAATTCTTCTTAACAAAAATTTTTACTGTTACGTTCTTTTATATTACGGCGCCTAGTGTAAAAGTTTAGGATAAAGAACAAAAATAAAATACTTTGTAGATTTCTCGTTTCCTCCATTGTACAGTAACATAAAATATACGTTTTCTGTAATATAAAACGACTATGTATACTATGTAAAAGTAAAAACAGAAAAACAGATGGTGGATGACGAGTATATGAAGCTAAACTTATAGAGAATAAAGTGCTTTCGCATTTAAATAACTGATAAGAAGGGTATCAAAAATAATAAAAAACCAGCCTTAGTTAAAATATTACTAGGACTTTTACTATAAGGAAAAATAAATGTATAAATTATTAACTGGTATTGGTTCCTGTTCTCAAAAGAAGTTATTATCACATTTACAAAAAACGAGAATGATTAAAATGTTGTGTTTTATATTCATTCCTATCGTTAGTACAAATAATATCCAATTGTATTTAAACGGTCAAATTCTAAAGTAGCCTTTTGTACATATTTTTTTTAAGGATAACGAAAATATATACCTTTATAGATTTATACTTACATACTAACTTGGATTTACATGTACCTAAGCACTACCACAAATTGCAATTATGTATGGAAATTCTGGTAAACAAATATGAAATATTTCTCAAAGCTCTTTCACTGTGATGCCCGATGGCACCCTTTAAAAAGAGCTTTTTTAAAAAGGAATTCTCGCTCTTTACAATTATTTTAAGAGAAACATGGTGAATATTCATCTCATTATTCTCCATTATTCTTTTTTCTTTTCGTTTAATCTTTTATTAAAATTCAGCTTGAAACATTGTCGTTGCTTACTTAATTATTTAAGGGATAGAATTGGTTCACTTAATTCCAAATTTTTCTAACAAGCTAATAATTGGGAATTGATTCGTTTACAAGGGTAGGTAACGACTGAACGTAATTTCCTTGTCGTCCCGGATTTTTCCTGGCAGATATACAGTGAATGATAAGAGGTTGTTAGTGAGTCAGTTCAGGGCCCTTTATGAGTGTGCTAGTAGTCGAGAGATTGACTCGATTGAAACGTTCAAACTGGCTCGACCCGAAATCCAGAAACTGCTTGTTTATTTTCCTACTACCGAAATTGAATTGCCCTTTCATTACGTTCCTCCACTTTTTCGGAAACGGGACGCGTTTCCTTCCATCTAGATGTTTCCTTTCTCTTTCAAGTCCACATCGATCGTCAACATAACTAACCAAGTAACCAAGTTAAGCAAGCACTTGAAAATATCAAGACATCTTCTCTTTTTATCAGTTAATAATAATCGCTCCATACAAGTTATTTGAAATGATCGAAAGTTGGCAAAACATAGGCTTTCACGGCCGGAATCCACTGTAGGAATAAGATTCATTTCATCCAAAACTGCGATTGACATCATAGATCTGTCTGTACTCCATATAACTAATAATTAAACAAGGGCTTCATTTTCTAAATTTCGATTCCATTGTTCAGCATTCATTCAGATTATTACTAATTTTAAAGTGTATTTCAAATACTACTACATTAATGGTATCATACACACAGAAAGTGTGCAGGGAACAGGAAATTGTGTCCCCTCTATCAGTACTGGTCGACAGGCGTTATTTTTTCAGCTAACTTCTAATTTATTATAGTCTATTACAGAGAGAGTTTTATTAATAATCTGACCTTATCGTAAAATTGTATGGCCAACTATTTTGATCGTATGGCTTACGCTTTCTAATATGAATTCAGATTCATTAGACTCCAGAGATCATTTTTATGTAAAGTGTCGTTAAATCCGACCTAATGGGCTATAATTCTCAAGAAACCTTACCTTCCAAAGCATACAGGATCGAGTCAAGTTCCATACGTATATGTATATATTTTACCACACCCAATACATTTTTTGTTTTAATTCAGATATGAAGTAAGGGATGATTTTTTATCTCTAATGGAATATAATAATTGTTTACGAATAGACAAAGATATGGTAAAAATAATAGATTTCATTGCAGTAAAATAAGTTTGTAAAATGAGAAAACAATGTACACTGTAAGTTTCTGTTTAATATTATTAAATAAACGATAATTCTGTATATGCAATCTTGTTTATGAAAAATGTTCGTTTGACAATATTTTTAAGTTAACATTACAAACAGAGAAAATATTAAATATTGAGACCCAAGTATTTAAAATAAATAGCAATGACAATAGTTTAAATGACTATAATCTCATTTAATTGTCAATTCAAACAACCCTTCAATTATGCATAATTAATCGTAAAATATTATCGAGTGATTCCTGCACTGAAGCGCCATCTCAATGCACGAAGCTACTGTTGCAGGAAATCCTGAAAAGGACCTTGTATCCTGCAGCTTTAAGAAAAATCAATACTGTCCATTTCGCAAGGAATATTCTAGATGGCGTTTCTAATACAATGTGTTCATTTGCTAATATGTTACGTGTTAATGAATAATAGACAAACCGTCCCAAGAAAGAAATAAATTAATAAAGCTAAAGCATTGGGGAGTTACGTTAAACTTTTAGGTATTTGATTAAGATATAAAAAATTGTTTCCACACTGCAAATAATCTCGTTTAATTTACCAGTAACAAATTATTGTTAATAATACGTAGTACTTTCCTGTAAAATCAATCAAATAAGTTTTGCAACACAATAATACATATTTATCATGAAACTGTTGTCTCTCTAAATGAAGATTACGTCTATATTAACAGAGAAAATAGTAGATAATTAAGAATTGTAAAATGGTATCGTTTGTAACTTTAACATAAGCGTTGCATAGTGTCATAATAAACAATGACAGCAAGTAAGGTAAAGGACAATAGGTTACTGAATAAAGTAATAACAAATGCCGCTAAATCTGAAAAAACCTCTTCATGATATTAATTTGAAATCATTTTTTTGATTTTTAATTTACCCACAACAAACTACCTCAATTTTTCCCTCATTAATTTGAGGTAGTTTGTAGTGGGTAAATTAAAAATCGAAAAAATGATTTCAAGTTAATATTGCATATTAATTCACTATTAAGTAACTAACAATCTCTCTTTATTTAATAATAAAAATGACAAACATAATTAAAGTTCTTCCTCTGCCTCTTTAAAAAAAACGCATTTGCTGAGTTCCAAAATTAACTGTTTTACCTTCTCAGGTTTTTTCAATTACTGAATGACTAACGTGCTTCAAATTCAATTTCAACGAAATGCTTAAGTCTGTGTAGTGTGTACGTATAGCTTTATTTTTTTAGCAACATCAAAGGTTCACACTTAAAATAACTCTTGTGTTACTTTTGTGGCTGGTTTTGTCACATCGGTATTTTAAACTGGAAAAATGCGGTTTGATCTTCTTAATTCGAAACGTTGTAGCTAAAATTTGTTTAAAGTTGGTTTTGGTCTGTAAACAGCAAGACGCTGATGCTTCTTTAAATCTACTAATACTGAAGTCTAATCGAGGATGACATCCTGGATGTTGAACAGCACTTTAGATTTTGAAACATTTTTCTGGAATTTTGGAAAAGAGGATTTTATTTAAAACTAAATTATCAAACCCAACTCTCTGAGGCAGGAGAGTTTCAGCTCATTATTCATACACCAACGTAAAAAGCTGAAATCAACTCAGTATAAACGTAGGAATCTAATTAAGTTTCCGCAATTAATGAAACTGAAACACACTCGTAAGTGATTTCGAGTTTTCAATTAAATCAGGTAATACAACTCTTTGGGATTGTTCACCTCTTAAAGTTTCCTTTTTGGCATGATTCAGTTACATTGTGATAAAAACCGCACCGTCTTGTTTTCTACCGCTTTATTAATATACAGGT